ATTTTGAACGAATCTTTAATATGACTCGGGAGTACCGAGTTGTCTCAGAGTGATTCGTTTATTTTGTTTTAACTGCGTATGCGTATTGCGTGGGTTTTGAATACATATGGGTTTTGAATCTGTACTGGAAACAGAAATGATTAGTTAATCTCTGAGTCTTCGGGACGGGTCCGAGTCTTTCGTTCTTCTTGTCAGTCCCTTAAGAGACTCTGTCAGTATCGGAAAGTGAAATGATTAGTTCATCTTTCGAGTCTCGAGTTCGGCCAGGTCCGAGCCTTTCGTTCTTCCTGTCAGTCCCAACTATTCATTACTATTTTATTTGCCGTATACTATTTGTTTATTTTATTGACTAAACTATTACTATTACTCACTTTATCTTATATATATATGTACATTTGCATTGCACTGTAGTTGTAGCCTACCATATCATATTACCATAAAGGATCCATCAGTCACTTTTGATACTGCTAAAATCGGGTCAATCACAGAAAATGATTTTTTTTTTTTTTTTACATCCAAACAAATAAAACTATTCTAAAAACAAAATCAAACCATTGTAAAAAGGCATAATGTGGCCTCTTTAATACAATAATCAGAAGAAAATCTGTGCTTCTCTGTGCTTGCTGTTATCGGATTGGCTAATATTTGGGGATGATTGCAGATATAGAGAGTGGGCAAATACAGTGGCCAAGTCTGGTGGAAGATAGAAAAATGACAGAAATGGCTTATGGCACCTTTAAGACTGTGCAGTCGCCCAGATTCATGCCTCATGTTCCATAGAATGACACCTGCTGGAGTAATGCTGACAAAGCTGCATCCGTCTCATTCCATCAGCCACATAATTTGATGTTCCTAGTGCCCTGTTAAGTACACTGTCATCCCTACTCGCTTCTAAAGATTAACAGAACATTTCGGAGGATGTGCAGTATGACAGGAAAATCAAACATGAAACACCTAGTTTGGTCAGGAAGATGCTAAATTTACTGATAAACATGACCTATTCCAGTTACTGCACTTGAATTTAAGCACACATGCTGTTTGAATTATAGGTTTTTATCCTTCTTGTTTTAAACAAAAAAAAATGTATAAGCTGACAGATACTTTGAAGGCAGGATTGTTATTCATTTGATATCCCAGTAACTCGAGTCATGTTTTACTATACTAGACACATATTCTTGCACTCTGTCACTGATTTTATATATATTTAAAATTATGTAGACCACTTTTTACTGGTAAATAAAAAAGACATTTTGCATTAACAGGACCAACAAATATCCCCTATTGCATTATTATACATTATATTCAACAGTTATATATAGATTAATGTAGTGCTGACACTAAAACTCTGTAAACTTGATTTTTTTTTTTATTACAATTTTGGGGCGAACTATACACAATACAGATTGTCACCATCCATGATACATATTGTTGCATTTTTGTATTGCGATATTTTGTGACACAATGTATTGTCATACCCCTACTAATAGCTAACTGCAAGAAATCCAATTGGATTACTTTGATGTCTAATTTTATTGTTTTAATTAATTTAGTTGCTGCTACACCATGCATCTGAATAGTTCACAGTTTAATTTAAAGTTAAGAAAACTAATTTCTAGGGTGCAGCCAACTAAATTAACTTCAGCCACAGAATTATGTTTGAGTGTACAGAACACAAAATCAAAATCTTTCATAGTCCTTATTCATAAAAAATAACTCACTCTCATCTTTTGGGGTCAAACACTGCCTCTTCCCTTAACTTTCATGTAAGCAGTGCGTGAAAGTTAAGCCACTGGCCAAATTAAAATGAAATGAATGACGTCTTTTCCCCCCTCTTTCCACAGAGCTTTGTTCTATAATGATGGTAATGGCTTCAGTGCTTCCTGTTGAAAGACCTCTCGCTTCACTGTCTGACTTCCAAAGGTGAAAAGCTTTTAAGGTATAATGGAGACACAAATGTTACTTCCAGTGTTGCTGAATTAGCTATGCTTCATTACCTTTAACAACTAATGGGGAGAGAAATGTTGTGTGGACTGGGGGCTTTACCTGGGCTCAAATGGGTCTTTCTTTGAGAGCACTCCCCCTTTATCAAGGCTTCTGTAGTAGTAAGTGTCAACTAACCTCAGGTTGTTCTGCATTATTAACTTACTAAATATTTAATTCACTTGTACCTTTGTCAAAGTATTGCTGTGAACTTAAGGACAAATTGCATACATAGCACTTTTAACATGCGGATTTGGCTATTTATTCTCACGTATAATCCAATATAGCTTTGGCACCGTTTATTCATTAGCATTGAGATCTTCAGGATCAATTGATTTGATTACTAACAATGCTTTGTCAGGTTAATTTGACTTCTCAGAAGAGATGGATAAACCAAAAAAGGCTCTTCAGACAGCTAGAAGAGGGATGCTGTCAGGAAAAAGCTGAATGTGCATTACTCTTCTGTAAATCTGGTTCATAGGTATTTGAGTGAAGATTAGGACAGTCATGAAGCGTGGTGGATTTAAGCTCACTGGCAGTACATATTCTTAGCTGATTTTCTAAGATGTGGAGTAACATCAAAGAGCAGCATTAATATTTGTTCCAGCGCCTACACGAATATCTAGAGGACGGATCCTCTTGTAACCAGGATGTAAATGTGCTGCTCTCATTGCGTAGTGTTTACTCCACCAGGCCCAGCTTCGTGTGGCTCTGTAATGTTGCCTTGTTCCACCTATACTCATATTTCTGTAAACCTACAGCACCTAAGACAGAAAATCAAACACACACACAATTCATATGCAGATTCACAACCTTCAGTATATTCCTACTTGCTCATACATATAACATCATACTGTGTAAATCATAAAAAAAATCCTATATAATTGAAAAAAAAAAAAATACAATAAAAATAAATTTCAATGCATGTGTTTTAAAAATGACACTGAAATTGTCCCAAAGTTAATTACATTCTGAAGCCCCCCAGTTTACAAACATAACATAACGTAGCAAACCACACTTATTTTATTTACAACATTAATGTTTTATTTATGGATGTTCAATAATTCATTTTTTTATTTTTCTTATTTTTATTTTTTGATTCAACTAACTTGATGTAACTCATGTTCCCGATTCCCGTTAGGCATTTTCTCGGCACTCGCCAGTGCGACACAAAAAACATGAATATAGCGGAGTTTTTCTCCTTCTGTTGGTATGCCAAAGGGACTGGAGCTCCACCACACTATAATTGGTCTGTGTCATGGATGTTAATGTCATTACATCCTGAAGTTGATGAAGCCGTCTTAATTATAAAGGGCTATGTCTCTGTTAATGTGTCTAATCTGAGTGGACAGTTCTCATCTTCAGCCCAATGTTATGATTATATTAAGCACTGTAGTTTTAAGAGCATACTTAGATGACAGAATATTAGATAAAAGGTGTGTAAAAATATGGGCTCTGTATATATCAGGGCCATGTTTTTGCTTGTTCTTTTCATTGGAACAGTGTAAAAAAGCCTAAATACAGAAAGTGCTGACAGATTCAGTCTGTGTATTACATATGTGAATACAATATCCATTATATTTATTAATTCATGGAATGGTAAAGTCGCAATCTGTTCCATTCTCTGCTGTATTTGTGTGCAATGCAATTATACGAATCTCAAATTCATTCAAGGGCTTTCATAGCATAATTTAATTTAAGTGGAGTGTTTTGTGGGCTCAGCCATGTGATTTTATCCCAAAAGAAACTGTGTTTTGTGAAAAGAGATGTTGGGTCAGGGTGATTACAATGCACTGGCTCAGAGTGATGAAATAATTGTCTTCTGTTAGTAATACTTTGGGAAGAAATCTAAGGGGGCAAGATAACTGTCTTGATGACCTACCTGATGTGGGTTTTTCCCACCAATCTCAGTTTGTTTTTCTCTAGATGTAAATGTAGTTTGAGGTTAAGATTCATAATATTAATTACATGTTTGTCCGATTTTATTTCTGATTTTGAAATATGCTATTGAAAGGTAGTTTTGACAAAGGGTTACAGAGATTTTAATCTTTTAATTGGACTAAATGTTGGAAATAGCTGTATAATAATGTGGACTTGAGGGAATTGGATCAAATTGAGAGAATTTATTTAGACCCTCCATAGTATATGTCAAGGTAAATGTCATTTTACATGTCAAATATGTAACATGACAAAATATCACATTTCACAATTTATTAATTTTTTTTGTAAAAAAAATAGTTTCACATTGAAAAGTGTGATAAATTGTGTAAACGCGAGTGTTACTTTTACAGTGTTAGAATTAAGTGTTACTTTTTTAACTTGATGACTTTACTTGACATTGACACGATAGTCAACTCACAATGTTTGTAAAAAAATGTTAAACGTTTTTTAAGAACTAGTTACTTTTTTAAAAAAGAATTCCCCTCAGATATTTGGCACCCCTACAAAATATGTGATGTGTATGATTTCTTGTTGGATATAACATTGTTCTGTTGCCCAGAAGCTTTTAACTGATCCGTCTCGAGGCTCCTCTACTCCCAATCAAGTTCAAGAGTTTTTTTTTGTTGTCGTTCAATAGGCTATGCAATTAGTACGGTAACGAAACGAGCCAACGTTCCTCCATGACCACGGTAAAACAACATAGGACAATCACAAAAACACATGAGACTACAAGTTTTCATAAGTGCACGTGCAAACGTGTGCAAAAGTACAGGACAATACAATAAATAATTACTTAGAAACCAGACAATAGACATATAAAATACCAACAGTGCAGCGCCAATTATGATCTGAGAAGTGCAAAGAGTTGATAGTTTCTAAAAAAATATAGGCTATATTTATATATTAAATATTTATTTAAATAAATATATGTATTTTGTAAGCAGTTTAGATTGAAGTATAGCTAATAATCTTACATAGCTACTAAGCAACACATTTGGCAATTGGAGAAAATCGTGCTTTTATAAAATGGTACAGTCTGCGACTCTGCGCACGGATTCAAGTTTACCCAGTCATGCTCTTCTACTCTTGAATAGAGAGTAACGAGCTACCGAGAGCGCGCGGTGATGTTAAGAAAGCGATCGAGAGCGCTTTTCCTTTCTGCTGCTGACACTACAGAGAGTGTTGTGTTCATTTGTAAGTAGCTGTCAGAGACGCGCTTATTCAGTCACCACTGCTATTGCCAACAGGACTGACTAGGATTCACTGCGCTCAGCTGGCTCTGTGTTACCGCTATGGGCTCAGTGTGATTGAAGAGACAAAGACTTTGGGATATACGTACATATATGTTTGGCATTTGGTCAGTTTCTCAAATGCAAACGGAAATATGCGGCAAAGCTTCGTCTTTCTCTTAACCGGTTTGCTTGGGTTGTGTTCATGTTCAAGTTTCCCAAGTAACATCAACATAGGTGAGTAGTAGCCTACTCGGCGGCTATTGTTAACCGTGTCCTGACAGAGATTTAAAGTTTCAGTCACACAGGGTGAGGTACTGTTAGCTATTTGGGTTTGAATATTCACATTCTGCTGTTATTTTCCCTAAATTACTTTTTGTAATCTCGACAGGAGGTTTGTTTCCAACCGACTCCCATGAATATGACGTGTTCCGTTTCGCGCTCTCTCAACACAATGATGTTCCTAAACTGGTACCACAAGTGGACATGGTGGACACGGGGAGCAGCTTTGCCATGACATACGCCTGTAAGTTCTGTATTAATAGCCTAAATATCTTATAGGTCTGTTATTATTCCCAAAGCCAAACCTCTGCAGTGCGCACGCGACCTGTTTCTATCAACCTTGTTGCTTAGCTAAATCTCCGACTCTGCACAGATGATTTGTGCCAGTGAAATAGTGCAGGCTTAGTCAAGTAAACGTGTCTTCACTAACAGTCTTAAACCCAGCTGGATTACTGTCAAGTGGAACTGCAAATCTGGCAAAATGTTCTAGAACACCTGAGGTTGATTTTGACACGAGACGAGCCAGTGGTGTTTGTTTGATTTCACTACTTTCATAATCCTGTGCTATTTACGTGTTCACAAAATAGATTTATGCATTTATCATGCTTTCTTATTTTAACTGTTTTTGTATGTTACCTTAAAATACTTTAAAACTTATATTAAAATAATAAAAATCTTTATTTATTAGTCTTTGTAACTAATTAGAAGGCACTCCCAAAACTCCATACTTTAAATAGTTATGTTCCCGCTTATTTTTGTTATCATTTTTGTAAGGATAGGCATTTTATGTTGTTTAATGCATTATTTTTGGCTTTAGTTTATTTCTGTTGAAATATTGCCTGAAGCATCATTATCAGCACCACATTTTTTACAGCAAATTTCTGGCACCACAGTTGTTACATTTAACATGTTTTTTAGAGTGTACTTGACAACATATTTTCTGTAATGAATTGGAACGTATTGCAAACATGAACATTTTTAGACAAGCCAAACAGAGAAAACATCCTCATTCCTGCCTCAGCTGGCTGTCAATCACAAATGTTGCCCTTTGATGTCTGAGATTGACACATGCAACCTTTCCATGTTTGTGTTCAATCCTGCAAGCGTCGTACAATATAAAGCTTAGCATACAGACAGCTTCTGATGAAGAGAGAGGAGATATTTCAGATGTTTGAGATACTTCGACACTAGCAGAGCAGACTGATCAGAAGTTCAGAGAAGTCTCTCCCAGATGAGTACGTGTGATAAACCTCTCTCATGTACACATCACTGGTGCCTTTTTAAGTGAGTCTCAATACCTCAAAGCAGACTATGCTGTTTACTTTAAAGCTGAGCACAGAAACTGGGGCACTGATGTTTTCCATTTTAGGGGACTCCTCAGGGCATTTTTATAGGGTGACATCGGAGAGGGTCTTGGGAGGCTATCAAAGGAAAGTTTAACGTAAGGGCTTAGTACGTATGTTCTTGTCACAGGGAAGTGTGAAAGTAATTATATGGAGCTAATTACATCTGCATGCAGAGAGTTGGCTCATCTGGGCCAATTGTGCGTGGCTGCTGTCTTATCCTCTAATCGCTGTATACACCATCCCAGAACTAAACCCAAGAGCACTTCAGCAGTTTGTGTGGCAGAAAGTGCAACCAAATTCAGTTTGATTGTAATTTGATCATTTTCCTCTTTTGCCGCAAGAAGAAAAACCAGGGCTATAGAGAACAATGAATGGGTCTTTGAGAAACAGAACAAAAGAAAATCAGCGTTTTTGTCCCTTCATTGATATATTCATGAAAACCTCTGGAGTAGATTTTTGTTAAAAATTACCAACCTGCAGTAATGGCAATGCAGACATGTACATTTAGGCCTATTTTGATCTGTTTCCTTCAGTGTCCATTTTTGCCCAATAATTACTGTAATAGCCGTTTTGTTTACACCTGGAATTACCTTTTGTCTTGAGTGATCCAATCACAAGTGGTCAGCTGAGACTGAGAACCACAGTTTTAGTGCAATGGTTGATTGACAGGTGAGTGTGCGGTGCTTGGCTGTTGTCTGGGTTGACATCAGGACAGATTAGCGTCTATACCACAAGTGCAATGTGGTCACATGCGTTGCTGCTGCAAATCAGATCAGCTAAGATTGATGTTTAATATCATGTTCACGTTATCTGTTATAGTGCAAGACTATTTTTGTACGGTCAGATAATCTGAAAAGAGCAAAGAAAAAAATACAGCCTGTCATCTTTACCCAAAAAATGTTTTTTTTTTTTTTTTTTTGTATAACATGTAAGGGCTTTATATTTTATTAATAAGACATTTAGACATGTTCCTATAACTGTGAATCATTATGTGTTATCATATTTATAACACCAAAATACATGACATGCATGGCAGAAATGGCACACAGAGCAGTACAGACTCTTATTTTCTTAGATATACGCCTGAACCAGTTGCCGAAGATGCCTTAACTACAGTAACCGTTTAGCACAGCTCAAAAAGATTCATTTAATCTATTATTCATTGCATTAGCCAAAGTGATTATTTTCAGGGGTTTTGATGTATGCATGTGGGAGCAGAGCCACAAAGGGAGTTATCATGAAAAATCCACTTATGTGGGAGGGAATTGACAATATTTAACTGGACAGGTGTTCTTCTGGGGAAGGAAAATTGTTCCCCAAATTACCACATAATAGTGGGATTTATCCAAGATAAACAGTGTAGAGTGTAAAATCAAGATTGCTGGAGTGTTAAGATTAGATTGCAATAGACATTTGGTAGAGTACTGTTCTGAAAATGTCTTCAGGACAGGGAAGTTGAATAGTGAAAGTGCTGATGGGAAAAGAAATTAAAGCTCAGTTATAGAGGACCCATGATGTAGTGTGTTTATATAGGGCAATGTGAGCCTCCTGTCATCGTTTTACTCACTCTCATGTTGCTTTAAACCTGTCTGGATACACTTTTGAAAAACGTTTTATGTACATATCCACCTTATTCTGCACCCGTTCTATTTCCCATGATTCATTGTGGTTTCAACTGACTAGGGGTGTGCAAAGCAGCCGCTATTTGTATTTGTATTTGTATTTGTTCAGGGAGGAAAAGTATTTGTATTTGTATTTGTATTCGAGTAAAATTCAAAATAGGCATAAAAATCTTTAAAAATAGGCCTACTTTATAGTGTATGGATTCTTTAATTATATCCATTATAATAATTATGGATATGCAATATTGGTTGGTTTTTTCTATAAATCCAGCAATGAACATGTAACAAGAAAAGTCATTGAAAAGAAAATAACAGTCAGCCATTACCTCATGAACCATGGTTAAACCAACAACTAATAAAATATAATTGTGAACATTATGAACCCCAACACCACGGTGGAGGACGCTGTGCAGACAGAATAAGTTATATGGATAATTTATAGTGAGGAGGTTGATTATGAGCCCGACGCGAAGCCTGAAGGGTTTTCGCTATAACTACGCCTCGCTACTGCAGTCAAGCCAGCCTCCAGTTCAAAATGAGCAGTCAAACTAGCCGCCCCTATATTTCTTTATGCGCTTATACACTAGCTATTACGGTAAGACCGTCAACCTTTCTGAAACTGAAAACATTGATCTTCCAGCAAAAGCGATTTCAGTTATTCCGTCCGTCCGTCCGTCCGTCCGTCCGTCCGTCCATCCATCCATCCATCTATCTATCTATCTATCTATCTATCTATCTATCTATCTATCTATCTATCATTAGACATTCAGAATGTCATATAGACATTCTGATGTTGTTTTACAAAATAAGAGCCCCCTGTTTTGTCCATACATTCCGAAAATCATAAAAATAAAAGTCCTGGCTTCCACAGACCAATTCCACCTCAGATGGAGAGGACACCTCCTCAAGGTGTCCACTGCAAAGTTTCAGGACATTCTGATGTTGTTTTACAAAATAAAAGCCCCCCAAAACTCATATATTATAGCCTACCTGTTTTGTCCATACATTCAGAAAATCCTAAAAATAAAAGTCCTAGCTTCCACAGGCCAATTCCTTCTCAGATGGAGAGTACACCTTCTCAAGGTGTCCCTTGCAAAGTTTCAGGACATTCTGATGTTGTTTTACAAAATAAGAGCCCCCCAAATCTCATATATTATGCCTGTTGTCTCCATACATTCAGAAAATCATAAAAATAAAAGTCCTAGCTTCCACAGACCAATTCCACCTCAGATGGAGAGGACACCTTCTCAAGGTGTCCCCTGCAAAGTTTCAGGACATTCTGATGTTGTTTTACAAAATAAAAGCCCCCCAAATCTCATATATTATGCCTGTTGTCTCCATACATTCAGAAAATCATAAAAATAAAAGTCCTAGCTTCCACAGACCAATTCCACCTCAGATGGAGAGGACACCTTCTCAAGGTGTCCACTGCAAAGTTTCAGGACATTCTGATGTTGTTTTACAAAATAAAAGCCCCCCCAAAACTCATATATTATACCTGTTTTGTCCATACATTCAGAAAATCATAAAAATAAAAGTCCTAGCTTCCACCGACCAATTCCACCTCAGATGGAGAGAACACCTTCTCAAGGTGTCCCCTGCAAAGTTTCAGGACATTCTGATGTTGTTTTACAAAATCAAAGCCCCCCAAAACTCATATATTATGCCTGTTGTCTCCATACATTCAGAAAATCATAAAAATAAAAGTCCTAGCTTCCACAGACCAATTCCACCTCAGATGGAGAGAACACCTTCTCAAGGTGTCCACTGCAAAGTTTCAGGACATTCTGATGTTGTTTTACAAAATAAGAGCCCCCCAAAACTCATATATTATACCTGTTTTGTCCATACATTCAGAAAATCATAAAAATAAAAGTCCTAGCTTCCACAGACCAATTTCACCTCAGATGGAGAGTACACCTTCTCAAGGTGTCCACTGCAAAGTTTTAGGACATTCTGATGTTGTTTTACAAAATAAAAGCCCCCCAAAACTCATATATTATACCTGTTTTGTCCATACATTCAGAAAATCCTAAAAATAAAAGTCCTAGCTTCCACAGGCCAATTCCTTCTCTTATGGAGAGGACACCTTCTCAAGGTGTCCCTTGCAAAGTTTCAGGACATTCTGATGTTGTTTTACAAAATAAGAGCCCTCCAAATCTCATATATTACCTGTTTTGTCCATACATTCAGAAAATCATAAAAAAAAGTCCTAGCTTCTACAGACCAATTCCACCTCAGACGGAGAGGACACCTGCAAAGTTTCAAAGTTTCCT